TACCATTTCAAGCAACGACGGGCTGTGTGCAGCCCCAGGACCCACGGCACACCCACCAGCTCCACGGCTCTTCTCCAGCCCTCCCCTTGCGAACCCTCTGTGTTTGGGCCAACTCTGCAGCAGTAAGGTTCATATTGGATGAGAAAAAGATTAAAACAAACTAAAAAAGCACTAAAACTTTTGGGTGGGGTGCACAGGCTGAGGGCCGGTGTGGAAAAGCAGCGCCCACGCAGCGATGCAGAGCCGCCTGGCAGCACTGCGTGTCACACAATCACTAAACATCCCGAGCTGGAAGGAACCTGTAAGGATCACTGAGTCGTTTTGCGCCTATTTTGTTCTGTGTTAGTGAAGCTGATAGCCTGGGCTATTCTGATTACAGACCCATTTAATTTCAAGTTGGTCATCTGACAGTAAATTTCAGTTCAAAGCAAGTATTCATAAATCCGAACTAAAATTGATTTCAAAAAGACTTCGTATTCTTAAGGTACAGAGCATACAGCATTTACTTGCAGCCCTCCAGGCTGAGAGGTGAGGTTATGCTGTCAGGGGCATTACTGGATCTATATTCCTCATGGCATTTCTACTGAGTAAACTGGGAAATAGTTCATATCACAGAACCCACAATTCTATGAGCTTGCATCTCTACCAACCTATGATTCTAAGACACAAACTATTTTCTTGTTGATAGTAATTTGTTGACAGCGTTTCCCCTTTGTTTCACAATAGCTGAGAAAAAAAGCTAGATTAAAGTCTAACAAGGTCCAATACACTGAAGAGAAGGGAGCAAAGAAATCAGGAGGCATTTAAAGAGCAGCTCCAGCCTCCTTGCTTCTCACCCTTATCAGCACAGCTATCAGTCAGCAGCCCTGTAATTAGGCACAAAAGACACTGTGCTCCAGAGAGCTTCTCTAGGAACTGGAGAGCTGCTGGGAGCTGCAGCCCTGACTGACAGCCTCCATTTAAGAAAAACAGTTCCAGAATAATTAGCAATAATTTGTACAAATCAGAAGAAGTGACCTTTGTGTGCACGACGTCTTACACAAAGAACAAAGCTCTACTGCAGCAGCACTGACAGAGTCAGGAGAACTGACGTGCACCTTTGGTTGGGATTGAGCAGCTCAGCACATTCCTTGGGAGGGTTCTGCATGGGGGTACCCTGAGCACCCCCAGAGTGGGAAGGAAATCCTGGATCTCACTCCCAGTGCTGGCAAAGGCTCTCCTGATTTAGGGGTGTTTTACTTATTTAATTTTTTATTCATCCATCTCACCTTGAGGACTCTTCCAACCCATACCATCCCATGATCTCTGTCTCAGTGGAAGGTCTGCTTGCTTGCATGATGCTGTGAAACTCTTTGATAAAAAGTGCTCCCTTCAAAACTCCACTTAAAACAAATTCTTCGCATTAAAAGAAATAAAACAAGTTGCTCCAGTTGGGCACAGAGAGGTTCCCTGCCCGCTGTGTACCAGGGCTGGCACCTGCTCAGAGAGAGCTACCCTGGGACACATGTAAGCACCCCGTGGGGTTATGGCACAGAGCAGAAAGGAGGAGGTGATGAAGGCGGCCGCCCAGCGGGGCTCCCTGCTCCCTGTGCAGCTGCTCCAGCAGCTGTTCTCACCAGTTGGTGGCTGGGTTTTACGAGATATCTGTCTGTAATTAAAAAGCAACAATACTTTGGCAGCCACCATAAAACACATTGCAGGTTGCATCCCGCAGCATGTAGTTCCATGCTGGTACAGGGAGATGCGATGGATGCAACCATGTAGGACTTCACCATTTCTAAAACCCAAACATTTTCTCCTTAGCCACTCTGCCAAGACCACTGCCAGCATCCCAAACCACGGCTCCATTTGGTTGCAAGTCAGAAATGCTCATCTCCTGCCTTTGCCACTCAAACCTCCCTGTGAACAGACATGTGGCTGCAAGGTGCTCGGTGCTGTGAGCGTGTTAGGGAGCTGCAGGTCTGGAAGGAGGTCCTAAACGCAGGGCTGGCATTGAGGGTTTTCTCCATTTGGAGTATGTTAAGGCATTGTGCTTGTGCCAGCAAGGCAGCACATCCAGAATGAGGGCAGGGAGGGCCAGAGAAAGCCTGATGGGGAGGGAGGGAGGGAGTGAGAAGCTGTGAGAGCAGGTCACTGCTCCCCTTGCTGGTACCTACCCAGGCTGGAAGCTGCTCCAGCCCATGCCCAGGCAATACCCTGCAAGCTGCAGAAGCACCTGCAGCAGCCCAAAGCCTCCTGTAGCTGCAGGCTGCTGCTGGGCTCTTTACTGAGGGCTTCTCTGTGGTGGGATCTGTGCCATGTGCTCCTGTGGAAGCAGAAATCGAGCTGCATTCTGCAAACCGCTGCACATGCATTTGTAAACCATTGTGTACATAGCAGAGAAACGCTTAATGATGACAAACAGACCTACAAACCAGAGGCAGCTTCCCTCTGTGTCAGCAGCAGCATGAACAGGTCCCAACTGTGCAAAAGCCTCCTGCAACCAGGACTTCTTAGAGGATAAACAGCCCTCTAACCACAGCCAGCAGTGGAACAGCTGCAAAGCCAAGGAATGAGAAGTAGAACCCAATGAATGTCAGAGCCCAGACCCCCCCCAGCACCTCCCAGCCCTGCACACAATTGCAGGTAGCAAGGCAGCACCACCTGAACTTCTCTCCATCAGCATCTGTCTCCATGCTGCAGCACACGGACTCCTCAGGGATCCAAGGGGTGTTGCATTGGTAGGAAAATACCTTTCCTATGTAAACCATGCGTTCTGCCATTTCCCTCTCCAAACTCCACAGCGTCACAGATCGTAAGCCCTCAACACAGAGAGGCTTCATTTGGGGAACAGATCTCCATAAAGGTTTGGAGTAAGGCCCCACACATCAGAAAAGAAAAAGGGAGGAAAATTACATTCTGTTTAATTACCCGAGTCGTAACAATTTTTAACTATTTTACGCACGACTCCTGACACAAGTGGAAATGTTATTTTCCACAAGCATGGCTGCTGGTCCTACTGCAAATAAATAGTGTGGGGTGCGCTCAGCACGCGGGAGATGGAGGCCATGTGTTCTCATTAATTCTCTTGGCAGAGGAGCACATGTAGGTTTTGGACTGCAATTCCGGGCTGGAACACGAGAGCTGGGGTGGCCAACATACATCACACAGACTCCATTTGGCCCAGCTCCATTAGGGCTGATCCAATACCCAGTTTTATCATCCTAATGATAAGCAGATTTGCAGCTGCCTCCTCCTCTTGTAGAGGTATCTTCAAGCCTCACCCTCAACTTCCTCTCACTGACTGGTTGGATTTTGGGGACCTGCACTGTAACACATCCCTGTGAATTGCTTTTTCCCTGCCACGCATCCACTCTTGTCCTCAACTAATTCATATGGCTGCACTCAGGAAGATGGGCAAAGGTCAGGCTATTGTAAGCCACCAACTATAGGGAAACTTTACCAGGACCAGGGACAGATTATATGGACTTCTGAGGACTTCAATGAGCCCCATTTGGGCCCATTGGGACTTCCTTCTCCACCTCCTACTGAGCCCAAGGTCACCAAAGTATTTCCACCCTGCACTGTGACAACAGGGCATGCAGAGGACTCAGCTCAACAGGTGAATCTATAGCACTGGTAGAAGAATGCTGGCCTCTTTCAATTTCCCTTTATTACAGCTTCTTTGGTGTGGATTAAAATAATTGATATTGATAATGTGATCTGCCCCCTGTTCACAATTACTTCAGCGGGGATCCTGCCTTATGGGTAGGATGGGAATGGTCTTCATTAGCCTTCTAGGTTACAGAACTGATTCTGGTTTTCATTTGAAGTCTTGGGGATTACACAGGCTGGCTGCTGCAGGATGGGGCACTGGTACCTGGCAAAAACGATAGAATTTTTCCTGTTTTAGAAAGAGGAATCCTGATCCTGTAACAGGATTGGTAACTCGGTCCCCAGCACTCAAACACAATTCTTATCACACAATTGTGGAAAGGGAGATGCTGTATGAGCATCCCCATGGCTGCTGCTCAGTGCCTCCCCTGCAAAAAGCCATCCATAGGCAACACCTTGGAACATGTTCTGCAGGTCAGGGAAGTCAGAATCCATCAGATTTAATTGGAAAGGGAAAATGGTTTCCAGACGTGATGATGGTCCACTGAGGACATCACCCCAAAGGTCCATCCCTGGGGACAAACACAGCACAGAACCCACATCAGAGATCAGGGCTGATCACTGCAGCTCTGTGCACAGATATGGAGTGCTCCCTGCTTCTCATATGGGCACAGAGCACAGATCCCCAGCACTGTGACTCAGTGGCTCCAGTGCTAACCTGCAGAAGGCACTGTCCCTCACAGTACTGCTTATTTCATAGAGAGCCACGATTTCCTCAGGAGAGAGTCCCTGTACACAGCAATTTCTTACCTTTTGATCTCTGTTTCTACAAAATGCAATTGCAAAACTATAGGTAAAAGCAGAGAGGAAGCTGAGCTCCCTCTCCCTAAAAATCAAAGAACAGAGCCAGAATACAAACTGCAGTTTATAATCAGAACGTAACGCAATCACTGGAACAGATGTCAGAAAGATAAAGCTGCATAATTCTGAATTGCCAACGATCAGTGCTCAGCATCTTGGATAGCACTGAGATGCTCGATTTCTGTCTGCATATGTCTGAGTTTTGGAATAAAGTAAAATGTTGGCAGAAAGCACACAGCACAATGCTACGGGAAAGTCCTTTCTGTTCCTCCCTTTCCCTGCTTTTACAAAGGGAGTTCTCTGTGCAGTTCACATTTATCCCTGAGAGTCCATGGCAGTGGGGGAGGACAGAAATTGCTCTCTGAGGACTGCTGCTGGGAAAAGCAGCATCACTGAGCTGGCACATGAATGCTGACAGCATGGCTATAGGCTGAAGGCAACAATAAAAGAAGACCAACATGGAGAACTGCCTGCTAGTAGAGAAAAGGCTACAGAAAAATCCACCAAACCAAAGAAAATACAGTTTTAAAGTGCAGATTGCTCACCTCATAGTGATAATTCATGCAAGTTAAGTCTCTCCAGCAGTGATCCCCTCGAATTTTAATCAATCCCTGGAAAAACACACACAAAAAAAATAGCATTAGGAATATTTTATTTGATCTTGCATGCCAAATTATTATCTCTAGATGTCAGCATCTCTGGTTACAGCACAGGGACAGCACTACCAGTACCAGATGGAAGTGCAGGGCTGGAAGAGACATCACCCTGGAAATTCATGACACATCTGTACCCAGAGCCCAGACGTCGTCCCTCAGAGGACAACACAGGAGAGGGCTCTGAGCAAATGCTCCTTTTGCTGCCACATGGCTTCTGATGGTACCTGCACAGCAGGAGGGCTGCTTGGCGCACAGCTTGCCAGGGAAATTGAAAGCTTTCATTTCCAAACTTACCCCCCCCCAAGGAGCAAAGCAGGAGGTGCTCAGGACCTCACTGATGGATGACAACAGGGTTGGGCAGTAGGGCTGGAGGAGCACCCCAAGAGCTGGCCTCAGCCCTAAGAGTGCATGGTGGAGCGAGGAGCCCACTCCCAAAATTTTCTGTTGCCCATCTCCAGCCATTTGCCTGTTCTATGGTAAAACCTTTAGGATAAGGAAGAACTGTGGCCAGGAAAGGTCTGAGAACTGGGCTGTGACACTGCTCTGAAACAGAGTGAAAAATCACCTGCAAACCTACATATGGTTGTTTTTGTGACTTTAAAATCCACACCCAATTCTCTCCCTCTTTAAAGTACTCCTGTAGGAGAGGGGATGCTGGCAGAGGACCACGCAGCTTCAGCAGCCACCCGAGCCCTGAGCTGGATGCAGAGATGCAATCAAAGTAATTAGAGAAACAAAAGAGGAGAAGGGGAAGGAAGCTGACAGATCTAAACACAGATGAATGTGCTAATGACAGGTCTGCTCTACCTCGGGTTAGAGGTTGGCAGTGAAATTAGCAGGTAGCAGAGGCTGTGCGCACTGATATTTCAAGGCAACAGGAGGGTGACATTTCCAAACCAGTGCGTCCATTCCAGGGCTGGCAGCAATATTAGGATTAAATTTCTTTGCCTCGGTGATGAGGACTAAAAAGGAATCAGTCGGCCACGGCAGGAAGGACACCTGGGCAGGGATGAGCAGGAAGCCCTGCAATCAGCCCGTGCCAGCCCCGAGCTATGCGGGCTTTGATGTACAGCTAAAGGTCTCTGATTAGGATCACAATATCCCAAATTGAGGAAAGCTTCGCTAGTCAAAAGACTGAACCAGCTCTATCATCTGCATACAATCAGGGGCTATTTGCCTACCTCTGACATTGCCCCTAATTGTAATGTTCCTGGCCTTCTTTAGCAGAAAAATCTGCTGAGTTTCTGCAAGGACCCAATGCTACCCTTGTTCCTTTTTCTTTTTTATTCCTTTTCCTGACAGCCCAGAGGTCACAGTGCTGTGGTACACCCTGGCTGAGCAGATTCATCCAAATTCCATAAAACTCATCACTCGCAGCACTGAACGGTTTAGCAGAGCTCAACAAAATCCCAAAGTTCAGGGAGTTAAGGACCCCCAGCAACTGCCCAGAGCTCTTCAATAAAAATCCACATATACCCCCAAATCCTCAAGCGAGACAGTGAGAAATCTTCCTTAACTTCTGTAGGCTCTGCCATGAGCAGATCACTTTATGTTTTGCATTCTGTCCCAAACACGTACCATCAGATGATGTAAATTAGTTGGACCTCGGACTTAACCCAGTGCTGACTTCCTGAACCAAACAAGATGCACAGGAATAGCTACAAGATTATTGGACACAAACTAACAGGAAATCTGCACCTCTCCTGGTCTGAGCCTCACAGCAGATGATGCTTCGACGCGTGTCGCTGTGAATGAAGTGACCCCACTGCTTTCAGCAGAGCTACTCACAGCCTGAAGTTGTATCTGGTGCTTGGATTGAGCAGATTTTGCCCATCTGCTGCTGCACTTTTTTTTTTTTTCCCCTCCATTTCTCCCCTTTTCCAAAAATGAAGTATTTTTCACATTAATGTTAATTGCAGAGGAGAGTAAACAGGAATCATCATGGATCCCAGCAACTTCTATCATGTCATTTTTAACCAGGAATGGGGCTGGGGAACCCAGCAGATGCCTCAGCTACAGCAGCATGTCTCATGGAGCAGAACAACAGCCCTACGGCCAACTGCATGCAGAGCAGCCCTGCAAGGCCCAGAAAATGCAAGCTAGATAGCATCATCCCTAAGAACCCTCACAACAGGGAGGTGGTGAGGTCACCATCTCTGGAAGTGTTTGAGAACCATGGAGATGTGGCGCTGAAGGCCATGGCTGGTGGGCACGGTAGGATGGGTTGGACTTATTTGAGAAGTCTTTTCCAACTTTAGAGACTCTGTGAGCCTATGAAACCGTCAGTGACGAGAAAAACACCTCCTGAGAGGTAACTGCTGCCAATGCTACAGAGCAAAGCAATGCGTTTGCAACCAGGGAAAAGGAGCAGAGGGTATAACAATGAGAGATGCAGCAATGGAACAGCCCCTCTAGCACCACCACCAAATAGCCAAGCGGAGCTGGTCCAGAAGGCACAGCTGAAAGCATGGTATGTCATACTAGAGGGGAGCTGCAGGATGGGAGAGCAGGCTGGGGGCTGCCCTGGTAGCGAGGGCTGCATTTCCCCTCATTCCTGCTCCAGGGCAGGACAGGCTCCTGGCAGCAGCAGCTGCTCCAGCCCCCCCGGACCTGCTGTGCTCACTCAGCCCCTGGGATTGTTTCTAGAGTTACAGGATGCAGTGATAGCATCGGGCAGGATGCGCTGCAGCCGACAGCGCTGTCAGGGCAGAAAGGACGCAAAGAAAGGCTCTGTGCAGGGACTGAAGGACAGCTATCTCAATGACCTTCCCCTGCCTTGTGAGAGTTCTTACCACGCTCTATTATTCTGCTTAGATAATTAAAGCAAGGATACAAGAGAAAAAGGTTGTAATAAAACTCAAAATCTCTCTTGCAATGAGTCACGAAGGGAATTAATCACGTTTTGTTTACTACAAAGCTATCAAGCAGGAAAATCACTTCAAGCTCTTAACATCAAACTGCTTTCAGCACAGAACGCTCCCGCTTCCACGATAATGGGGCACTTCAGGTCCTCCTCACACCGCTGCTGTTCCCAGATCCCACTCTGGTTCTCCAGTGGCTGAAGGAACCCCGGACCACTGAACAGAGTGCATCACTGGGTACAGATGCCCGAGCTCAGACATCCCCCACCTCGTGCTCAGGTGGAACCCAGTGGTTCACACCCTGCTCCAAAGACGTGGCTTCCGCCGATGGTTTTTTTTTTTTTTTTTGATGTTTGTTCACGTTCTTCTGAAGATACAATCAACCCATTAATTGCCATCTTGCATCCCTGTAACCAACCCGAGGTTCAGCCTCACATCACACAGAGATGGGACGCGTGCAGAAAGGCTGCACAGCCCGAGATCTCACTGCAGGGCAGATGGAGTGACGTGAAATAAAGGAAACGGGTCCTTAAAAATAGAAAGCATAATGGGGTTTGTCTTCTAATTTAAATACCAACAAAGCAGGTAGATGAAAACACACAGGAGCTGGCAAGAGGGTGCAGTAGGGCAAGGGAAGCTCATGTTTTGCATCCACTGTGCTGGAGAGGATGCTGGCACTGCCAGCACTTCAGTCTATGGGGCAGACAGAACACAGACACCAAAAGAACCTCAGGATGGAACCATCCATCCACCACAGCCTCTTTCAAAACGCACTAAGAGCTCAAACTGTCTAATTCCTTCTGTGCAAAAGCTGCCAGGATACGCACACAACACCAAGTGAGGCAATGTCTGCAGGGGTTGGGGGCTACTTACTTACGTAATGCAGCGAGAATAAATAAGTGGCCCTGGGGCATGCAGGCAGCACAGAGCCTCTGCACACCCATCAGCCCACAAAGCTGCTGTGCCTGCCTGTGTCCTGCAACACACTGGGGCACAGCAAGCAGTGGGGACTGCACACAGCCCAACAGCACAACCACTGCCAACACACTGATAACTGCTTCAGCCTCAGACAGCAGCATCCAGAGAAGCACAGGAGAAAAGTGGAATAAAAGGATGCCTGAGGTCTCTGTGAGCTCAGGCGGCAGAGGAGGAGGGAGAAGGAGATGGGGATCCTCACATCTGCCAGCGTCTCCCAGCCGCTGGATTGCTTTCAGCCTGCTAACAATTTTCCCAAGCCATTCTCAAGATTTCTATGTATGAACCGGCCTAAACTCCACAGCTGCAGCAGATTATGCTGCCATAATGCAGATCAAAGTACAGGGAAAAAGCCCTGTCCCTCACTCACAGACAGGCAGGGGCTTGTGCATCTCCGATGTACCTCAACTGTCCTGTGTTAGGGCAGGGACCAGGAGGAAAAGGAACCTGAGGGCACAGGCAGCATAAGGGCGCACCAGCACTGGGAGAACCCCCTATGATACCTCCTATCATTTGGACCCAGACTGAAAGCATCACACGTGGAGCGTCTGGGGCAGGCACTAAGCCGAGTTTGGGATCCCACTGCAGACCCCACCCCTTCAGCTGCCACCTGTAAGCAAAAGAAAAGGAAAAAAGGGAAGTGGCCCTTCCTCAGCTCAGTGCAGCCCAAAGCATTCAGCTTCTAAAGCCCATGGTTGAGATTGAGCCCCACAGATCAGTCAGATTGGGGTGGGAGCTGAATTAGGAACAAGCCTCGTGTCTCAGTGCATTAAGGCACATTGGAGGCAATGCCTGTGACAAAGACCAGGACTTTAACAAAGGGTTTCTCCAGCACTTGGAGGCCATTTTTTGAGAGCAGGATCTGTCCAACACCCTCAAGGTACAAGAAAATTTATTTAGACAGCTCAGTAGCCTCAAACCCTTCTTGGCTGTATCTATCCCATTAACCTAAGAGCAATCTCAGACCTTGTTTTTTATTTGTTTGTTTTTTAAATAAAAATGAGGAAAAACTCTTATGGCATACCAGCTCCACCAAAGCCAAATTCAGCATCACATCCCCTTCTATCCTCCCAGCTTTAATTTTCCCCCACGCTGTTCCAGCATCCCCAGATACCACAT